TATGGTTGAGTGGGTCAGCCAGCAGACAGAGCTCCGACCTCTTCATTTTCTCTCTGGTTAGGCTGAGTTCAAATGACTTTACCTGACTTTGGAAGACTCTTGAGGAGGCTAAGCAGGCCCAGCCAGTGGGTACAGGCTTGAAGACCAACAGGGTGGGCTGGCAGACAGGACAGCATCAGCATCTCAATCCAGGTGTCCCAGCCAGGACCACCCCAACCACCACCAGGAGAATGGAACCAGCCCCCAGCCCTTGTGAGCAGCTCTCCCTTTTCTGCACTATCTCAAGGGAAATCTGAAGACAAGCTACCAGCATGAGATGTCCTGGTGTTCAGGCAACACAGTTAAACAAAAGTGTGATGCTGCTGTGGGAAGGCCTGCCCCAGGACACTACCATACCATGCCATCTTCTGTTCCTGCCAGCTGAAGTTTTATTCCCAGGCAATGCTTTCTCCTTTTACCATTTCCCCTGGGACCCTGACTGGCTCTCTTTGGGGACTGAGGTCTTACAGGCCAGAAGGTGCCTTTGAGCTCATGTTAGGGGCTGTGTCCCTGTGAACTCACTGGAATCCTTTGTTGACACACTGCTTTCTTACCAGTCTGTGAGCTCTTTGAGGGCAGGGCTTGTGGTGCTACTATTTAGTAATTCCTGTATCCCAGTTGGTGCTGACACATAGTTGGTGCATAGTAAGTGCTTATTGAATGAACAGATGGGTGCATTTCCTATTCTACAGATACCTGTTCAAGCTTTGTTTTGTACTTTATTTTGTTAACCCAGTTAATGCTTCTGACAAGATGTCCTACAACTCCTCCCCACCCCATCAAAAAGGAGGGCCCTTGGCCTCAAATAGGCCAATCAGGCTCCGTTGGTGGGGAATTGAATCTTCAGTGAGCAACTGGGGAAGATAGAACAGAACTATTTTCGGAGGCCCTGAGGCCTGCATCCTCAAGGCTACCTGGCTTTGTCTTTTCTGAGGCTTGGTCAACATTTTCCTTGGTTCTCTAAGTTACTCACAACTTTCTAATACATTTCCTCTTTTACTTTAGTTAAAACCAGAGTTGGTTTCTATTGCTTGCCTCCAAAGAAACTTGACTGATGTAAGTGTTTTCCTATTATTTTTAAATCTCCTAAAGAACATAAAATTTTTAATGACTATATATGTTATATTCACTTATTTGACTGATTTGCTGGGTTTTTTTCCTGGTAATGGGATTATTACTTTCTATCATCTCTTTTCAATTCTGATACCTTCCCAAAGCAACATACTATAAAAAAGGCACAAGAAGGGAAGCTAGAATAAATTGTCTTTAGAGAAAGCATGGCTTTTTTTCTGACACCCTAGCAGAATCCTTTCATTGGCCTCTTTTGACCATCTCTTTATTCATTCATTCATTCTTTTTATTTCTTAATTTTAATTATTTATTTCTTTTAGAGATGGGGTCTCACTGTGCTGCCCAGGCTGGTCTTGAACTTCCGGCCTTGAGTGATCCTCCCACTTTAGCCTCCTTAGTAGTTGGGACTACAGGTGTACACCACAGTGCCTGCCCATTCTTTCTTTCATTTATGATTCATTATTCTAAGTCTCTAGTCTACAGTATTGCTCTGAGATGGTTTCTGCTTCAGCAGATTCGTTGAAACAGTTTACTTCATATTTGGATTTTCCCACTTGTCAGAACATTCTTCCTTGGCAATCTAGTGCAATGGAAGGGACTGGACTGATTTAGATAATCGAAAGGTAATTCTGACTGTGCCTCTAATTATGTAATTTCAGAGGACTAACATTCTCTTTGGATTTCGGTTTCCACGTGAGAAATAAAACAACTTGAACTGAGTAACTACAGATTTCCTTCCAGCTTTAAGATCCTATTATTCATATGAGTCAATATCTGCCTTTTAGTGATATGCTCCATTGGCCCCAGTTACACAGTCTGGGCTTATGTGATAGCCCTTCAAATATTTGAGAACCTATGCGCCCGTGAGTGTTTTGTTCTAGGCTCAACATAACCAGTTTCTGTAATCATTTCTCATATGGTAAGGTTTTTAGACTTTTCACCATTCTGGTCATTCTCTTCGGGACACTCCAGTTTTTCAGTGTCTGCATGGAAATGTGGCTTTGAGACCTGGACCCGGGCTGGTCACACTGTGGGAGTCTCCCCACTACTTGCCCCTGCGCTCAGCCTGCCCCTCCTGGCAGATAATGTTGACTAAGGCACAGCCCAAGGGGAGGCAGCCACTACAACTTTCCCAGATCTAGCAATAGTTATTTGTTGCCATTTTAGAGGCCCTTCCTTCAGGCTGTATGCAGAACAGATGCAGGTAGCCATGGAGCCAAATCTGGAAGGAGATGGTGCTTCCTCTGAAGATCAGTAAGTAACCAAGAGTGATTAACTGAACAAGTGCTAGTTCTTAATACACATGGAAGGAGGATTTGCTACAGGTGTCATTAATGTTTGCAGCAGCTTTTTTTTTTTTAATTGAGACGGAGTCTCACTGTGTTGCCCAGGCTGAAGTGCAGTGGCACAATCTCAGCTCATACAGCAGTTTTTTAAAAAATGAGGCACTGAATGTTCATGTCTCCATTGATGAGAAAAATGTCCTCTCTAACCCTTTTCTTTTGCCATGCCCCTTTCCCATTCTCTCTGATATCATGTCTCATGAGTCCTTTGCCCTAGCAGCTCTTGTATTTGTCTTTTGTACAGGAGAACAGATGCAAAAACTACTTCTCAAGGAAAATAAAATGAAAACAAGGAAAAGCAAAAGCAGATCTGGAGAGGGCTCTGGCTGGACCACAGGCGTCCTGGAGCTGTGAAGTAGAGGGTGTTCTGGGGGGAGTCTGATCTCTGGACTCTTGAGGGGTTCTTTCTGTCATTGTCACTCCAACAAAGGGCATTCCGACAAAGTCCCATATGATGCGGCCCCGGGCCGTCTCTCTAGACTCTTGTCCTTGTCCTCGCTCTCCCTTGTGTGGATCCGGCCCCTCTGGCCTCCACTCTCTTCTTTGCAAACACCAACCATGCTGTCACTTTATGGCCTTTGCATTTGCTGGTCTCTTTGTCTGGAACACTCTGCCACTGCACACTCACTCCTCCACGTCACTGGGCCTCTGTTCAAATGGCACCCCACTGAAGGTGTCATTGATTGCTTTCTCTAAGACAGACCCTGTCTCCCCAACGCATTGTTCTGTAGCCCTTTACACTGCCTTATCTTTCTTAACAGAAACTAACAACATCTGACGTATGCTTACTTGTTTATTTATATTATCCAGAACATAAACTCTCAAAGGCAAGGGTTTTGCTTCACTACTGATTCCCAAGTACCAAGAAATGTACCCAGCACGTGCAGCACCCTCAATCAGTATTTGTTGTGGTGTGACTTTTTAAGCATCAGTCTCAATGCTTATTAGCACAAGATTGGTCTCAAGGAAGAACTTTGTGTTTTTTTGGCAGAGGGTTCATTAGTCCACTAGTTGACAAGTGAGTCACTGAGGATGGGAACTTTATTTGAGCAGTGTGGATCTGCTCAGCAAGGCCCTGGTGCACCACAGTACGAACCACTGTGGAAATGAGGTTGCTAAAAGTCACCTTGTGGAGGGAGAGCTGCGGGTCCCATCTCATCCAGAGCTGCTTTGATCTGAGGTGGGGCCCTGGAGATGAACAGAAGAAAGGTGGGGAGTGCTGTGTTTTTCCCCAGAAACCCACCAGGGCTCCTTGTCAGATCCGGGGCTGAGGCCAGTTTTGCATGATTCAGTGACCAGGCATATGGCATGACTGTAGGTGGCAGGTGGGGACAGCACAAGCTGACAGGTTGAGTGGCCATGGACCCTGTTCAGGTAATCTTGGGGGAAGGTGATAGGAGAGAAGTGCATGTGGGAAAGGGATGAGATTTTGATAAAGCCAGGTTACCAGCAGGGAACGTCTGAGCAGGCCAGGCAGGGAGGATCTGGGAACAATCGAGTGGAGGAGTGGTGATGTGGATCCGGAGGCCAGCTGTGCTGGTCCTTTGTCCAAGGTGAAGTGATTGCCTGGGAACGGGGGAGAAGAGGGAAGGTCCTTGGACAGGACTGACATCCTAGGTGGGGAGATTGAATTCACCCTGGGAAAACAGTACTTCAAACCCACCCCTGTTTCTTCAATACCTCCTTCCTCTCTGTTATCAAGACTTGAGTGAGGCCCCAGAAAAAATCCAGTTACACCTGGGTGAGAGAAACTGTGAACCTTAACGGCTAATAATCCCCAAGGGTAAGTTTAGCTCATTAAGTGTTTTTCCAGTAGCAATCAATAGTCCAGAGCTCTTCTAGACAGAATCACTCAGGGGCAGAATGTGTTTTCCTAAGATGGCCACAATAAGAAGTTCGATGGAGTCAGAGTGACCTCTACAGTCCACCTGTTTGGTGGCGGGGCCTTTGTCCCCTCCCCTTGAACTAAGGTAGGTCTGCATTTGCATTGAAAGTGAATGTGGCAGATTCTAGAGTGCCTCAGTACCCTTTCTGTCCATAATGTTCCTTCTGCATAGCGTTTTAGAGCTCTTCACTCTCTCAGTTTCAGGGAAGAAGACTCATCCTGAGCTGAGCTGCTTTTCTTGAAGTTGTGCAAGAACGTCCTGCTGGCTGGGGCAAATTCAATAGTTTTTTCCTGGTCACTGTGCTGGAGCGTGAGGAAAGACTCTCCACCCTCACTCCCAGATCCTGCAGGAGGCGTGAGAGTGGAGGGAGATGGGGAGGATGTCTATTAATATGGTGTTTCCTGTAAAACGGTGCCCATTTCAACTATGGGTTGTCAAACATCCTTGGTGTCTACAACTGCAATTTACCTCTGAGGGGCCATGAACTCTGATTACCTGAAAGTCCTTAAGCCAGAAAGAGAAACGCCTGTCCGCCACCTCTCACTTTCACCTGTTTCTAGACCTTTTCTTATAGCAATGCTTTGGCCATCAGGAAGCATCAGAGTCTCAAACTGCAGGGTCTGGGGCTGAAGCTGATGCTAGCATGGGTGACTCAGAGTTCCTCTATCAGTTCAAATATCTAATATATTTTAAAGCCTAAGACTCAGGCTGGAGGCAATTCTTTGGTGCCAGTTGGGTAACACTTTATGAATAGTGGTGGGGGAGGGAATGCCTTGAACTATTAATGTCCCCATGGATCTGGATCCTGGAGAACTTCCAGTGTCCTGGAGGGAATGTGCTGCTTGGCTCATCTTGCCCAGAGAAGAGCCAGGATATGAGAAGATGGGAGAGAGAAGGGGGAGGTCCGAAATGTGCTGGTGCTTTTTGTCCTCGTGGTGTGATGGCTGCCCAGGTTGCTCCTTCGAGGCAGGACAGGATTCCCATGGGAGGTATAAGGAGCATGGTGATTTCCAGGCACCAGTTATGTCCCCGAACATCGTGTGCCTGTGCAGTGCGGTTACTGATGGTCCAGGCATCAGTTCATATTGTCCTTTATGGCAGATCCTGCACAAGGGGGTTCTCTGTCTCTGGACCCACCCTGTCAGCACGGACATCCTTTTTCTTTTTCCCTGGTAAGGACATCAGAAAGAAAGTTACCCCTCCAATGTTTGGAGTCTTGGCATCCTTGGCCTGCCCACAGGCCTCTGAATCCTCAGTGTCGCCTTAGGGAAAGGAACCTGTCTCCCGGTCTTCCAACACCCTGGAAAGGGAGGCTCTTCAAGAATAGGAAATTCTTCCTAATGTCTAACCTTGGCCTTCAACTATGCCGTACGTTTAATTGCAGAAGGTATGAAAAGTTAGGGCTGTGGTGGACCCAGTTAAATAACTGGACAGAAGCCATGAGGCAGAGCCAGAACCAGCTTCTGGACTCCCTGCGTGGAGCTTTCTACTATCCTAGGTGGTTGGGTCCCTTCTCAGCGGCCAAAGATGCTATTTTATGAGCCTTGAGGACATGACACTAGGTGAAAAAAACCTGGCCAAAGGGCCACATAGTGTATAGTTTTATTTATATGAAATGTCCAGGAAAGACAAAAGCATAGAGGCAGAAAGTAGACTAGTGCTATGGGAGGAATGGGGGAATTGGGAGGTGATGGCTAAGGGGTTATGGGGTTTTGGGGGAGGTAATGGAACTGTTTTAAAATTGGTTGTGGGGATGGATGCACAACTCTGCGAATACACTAAAAGGCATTGAATTGCATACTTTAAATAGGTGACTTGTATGCTATGTGAATTATATCTCAATAAAGCTATTTTTTCCCCTGCTCATTCCTGGCTTCCATTTTCTTATCACAAATCCTGGGGACTCTTGGGGCAGGGGCCAGGGCCACACCCTCCCACAGCAGATGGGGCTTTCAGATGGAGTGCAGCCTCAGCTGATCCCTCTTGCCCTCCTCCCTGCTGGAGAGAATGAACAGGAATCAGCACTGCCTGTCCCCGTGCTTACAGGCTGGACCCAGACCCTGCCTTCTAGGACACACCCATCATAATGAGGCCTCAGTGCCTCCTCCTTGCTGACCCCCTTTCTCCACCTTGGGACAAGCCAGCTCCGACAGCCTGGGATGGAAATGACCACGGAGCCCTGGTCAGTCGGGTAGTTCTTTCAGGGGCAGGGCATCCTGGGGCAGAGGAAGGGACTGAGCTAGATGTAGAGCTTAGAACCTGGTCTGATCTCGGAGTTTCCTCTTCCTTCCTCTTCTCAAGAAGGCAGCCCTATCAGCCACTGGCCAGGGAGTAGCTTCTCTTAAGGAGACATTTTGTAGAACTCTCAGGCAAGAAGGGGTTGGGAGTCGTCTAGACTCCCACTCAACAATGTTTGTCGATGCCAGCTATGTTTCAGGAACCCTTGTGTTCTAGGAACCATTGACATGCCCAGTGGTGACCCAGCATCCTCCTTTTAAGGGCTCAGAATTCAGTGGGGAAGTAAATGTAAGTAGTTCTCTGATTAGGGTAAGCAATGGAGATTAAAGAAAGGACATTAATCAGCCTGAGTGTGGGGAAGGTCAGGGAAGGCTTTCTGGAGCAAGCACACCTTGAAGACTGAGTATGAGTCAGCCACACGAAGCGGGGAGGCTGGGTGGGAAATCATGGAAAGTGTGTTCCAGGTAGAGGGAATATTATGTACAAAGGTCTGCAGATGGATGTGAGGGAACAGTGCATTTGGAGAACCGCAAAAGAAACTTCAAGTAGTTGAGTCTGGTTGGAAACCAAGATATGAGCTAGAGAAGGCCAAGAGATGAGGTGGGAGAGGTAAGAAGGGGCAGACCATCTGAAGCCTAAATAGGAGGAAGTCCAAGACCCCCTCCCCCCCAGGAACTCCACCTCCTCCACCTACCTCCTGCACCTGCAGGATTCCTACCTGAGCAGGGGCCCCAGTGCCAGGCAGAGAAGAGAGTAACCAGCATCAGGAGCAGCGAGACAGGTACCGCCACCAGCAGCACATCTTTGTAGGAGGCCTTCCCTGGTGCTGAACATGAAGGGGTGGAGTCAGAGGTGGACTTGATGCTTCATAATCCCTCAACCATTGACTGCTGACCCTTGGCATACCTGCTTCATGATGGCAGCTGTCCCAGGGCGTGACTGTGGCCAAGTCCCAGCTGACAGGGTTGGAGACAATGCAGGAATAGGCCACACCTCTGTCTCCTGGTCCCAGGGATACGCTCAGCAGTTGTCCGTCTGTGAAGAGGCTGTGTGGCTCCATACCAAAGTCCATGGTTGTCTCCCGTCGCCAGCTATAGGTTATTTCACTGATGTTGGGGGCCCAACAGGACAAGAAAACCTGGCAGGTTTTGGGGGGCTGAGCATCCCCTCCTACAGCAATGAACACTTGTACCACGGGCCTGGGCACTGCATCTGGGAAAGAAAAGCACAACAGGTATGGGTCCCAGGGATGCTGGGCAGGGCCCTTATCTCTGGCTCTGGGATGCACCAGGGTTAGATGCCACCTCTGACTAGGCCTCTCTTGTTCCAAAATCTTGTCTGGCTTTCCACTGCCCACAGGACAGAAGCTGAATTCCTTAGCTTGATATTCAAAACCTTTCAGGAAATGATTCATGCCCATCTCTCCAGCTGTACCTCCTGCTGCTTCTCCCTGCTCATCCTAATTAATTTGCAGTTTTCCCACATATGTCATGCTCTTAAATATCTTTCATGCTTTCACATGGTTCATCTGTGCACATAGATGCCTTTCACCTCTTGTCCTCCCAGAAAACTCCTACCCATCCTTCAAGGCCCGGCTTGAACACATCGCTTAATGCCTTGACTGTGAAGCCTTCCCAGGCACGGCTCTGAGCTCTCCAAGCACTCTATCTCTTTCTGTAGTATTTATCTCACAATATGTCAGCCAGTCAACAAGAGATGACAAGCATTTGTTAAGTCAGGCAAGAAAACACACACACTCCTAGCCTTCTGGAGCTTACAGTTTGGTGAGAAAGACAAATACTGACAAATGATTATGAATAATTAATAAAATAATTATGAGGGTGCAAAATGCTGTGAAGGAGGGGCCCAGAGGTGGGGTCTCTGTCTTGTTAGCTCAGTAACCTTAGCTGTCTAGTGCTGGCAAATAGTGGGTGCTCGATACCTGGTCACTGAACAAACTGATATCCTGGTGTCCTAGGCCACGGATCCCCCTTCCTATACAGGTTGATGAGTAAATCCTGAGTCTCAGTGGAAATGAGGCCAGTGGGAGAGCATTCTGGTAACAACGGGAGGGCTCAGTCTCTGACAGCATTCCAAAGTCAAGCAGAGAAAAACCTCGTTAATGCCAGTTCAGTCTGGTGGGATTTGTGATATGAAAGAGAAATGATTTGCTGGGCACACTAATAGTATAAACAAAGATTACAGGGGGGATATTTACATCACTTAAGAGGACAAGCTGCTTCCAAACACGATCAAGCACAGTAGAAACACCCATTGACATTTCTAGTAACTGATCTGCTAATTCAAATCATTCTTATCTATTGTCAAAGCAGAGCTCCTAAGGATGGCTGCTTGGCAGCTTCGTGCAATTAGTTCTAATCACGCTATGTATTTGGAAGCAATAAAACAGCAATTTCCTTAAAATCTGTAATTCAGATGCTGAGAACAAGGCATTTTAGAGCTTAGTGGTGTGGGTGCCGCATGTATTATCACATTCAATGTCCTCATTTCACATGTGCGGCAGCTGAGACTTAGACCGGAGGAGGGGCTCCAGGGGCTGACTGTATGGTAGGGTAGGTTATTCACTGCACAAGGACATTGGGCTAAGGGGGTCACAGGGTAACAGGTGGCAGGGGGTGGGGGTGCTGAAATACAGCCAGTACTCTGCTTGCCAAGATGAGGCTCAGGGCTGTGTGCATCCAGAAAGACACCTGCAACGGCATTGGCACCCTGCGTGGCTCGCCCAAGGACAGCCAGTTAGCTGGCCCAGGGGAATTCAAGACACCTCCCCAATTTGCTTACAGTCTTTATCTCCCTCATGACTACCCTCTTCCAAGCTGCTACCTCTGCTTTCCATTCTTAAAGCTGGACTCCCCCCTCTTCCACTCGATCTAAATTTCTAAGGTTTTACTGAAACAGTGATTTAGGGTCACCCATGCCTCTTTTCTAACCCATTAGGTAGATAAATGAGAGCTGAAAGCCCCTTTTTCTTGACCAGAAGACAAATGATGAAGGTGGTGGAGGTGGCTGTGGTGGAGGTGGAGGTGGAGTTGTTTGGAAACAAGGTCCACCCAGCCCCCAGTCCACGCAGCCAACTGAGGTGCTGAATGTAGCTGTGCGAAGGACTCTGCAGACCCATGTGAAGCAGAAGTTGCACCCAGCTGGGCCTGCCAACCCACGGAATTATGAGAAGTAAACATCGTCGTTGTTTTCAGTCAGTAAGTTTTGGGATGGTTTGTTTTGCAATGATGAATGACTGAGAGAACCCATGAATCATATATAGTTAAAATCTTTCTAAGAAGCCCTTTTAAGAAATGTGTAAATTCTATACTTTCAGTCATAGTTTCATTATAATTTGATTTTTAAATAAATCCATTATGTCATAGTTTAGTATGTAACATCATTTTTTTTTCCCTTTATAGTGGTACATAGACTAGTGGCACATCTTACAGTCTATGATGATCCTTTAGAACTGAGGAAGCACAGGCCAGGCTCTGTCCTGGATGCCACTGCAAATCCCACTGCATTTCACCCTGTGGGTACTCTACATGGTAGTATTACAATGCCCATTTACAAAGGAGAAAGGTGAAGGCCGGGGAGGCTAAGCATTGTGTCTAAGGCCACTGAGCTAAGAAAAGACTGAGCTAGAGTTCAGGCAAGCACTGTGAAACGGCAAAGCCTGGCTGCTGCAGCCACGAGGAATTTTCTTAGACGTGACTACCAGGGAGCAGCTGTTCCCTGAGTCAACAACATGGTCAGAGACCAGAGCTTTCTGGAACCCAGCTCTCCCTGGCTGCTATGACTCAGGATGCTTGTCTGGTGCTTTGTGGGAGAAGAGGGTCAGGCAGCCAGTGTCAGACACACTCACCGTACACTTTTAGCTGGAGGGTCTGGGTCCAGGTCTGGCCCCTTGTGTCCACCATCAACACGGAGAAGTTGCCGCTGTCTCCAGACTCCAGTGGCCCGAGCTCCAGGCTGAGGTTGCTGTGTAGCTGGGCTCGGCCCAGGAAGCGGGAGTGGTACAGAGTCTCCAGGGAGCCTCGAAAAAATGTGGCCAGGAGCTCCTCTGAAGGCCAGAGAGATCGCCAGATAGCCTCACGGACTTGGAAGCCGGGAGGGCGTGCTGCCACCAGCAGCACTGAGCCCCCGACTTTGCTCAGCACTTGGGCACCAGTAACTGTAATGGGAAGTAGGGCTGAAAGAACAGAGCCCCTGATCACTCTGCCTGCCCCACACTCCTCATCCTTCTTTTGCATGCATCTGAGCTGCTATGGGGTGAACTGGGGTCCCTCCACTGACACTCCCTTCACTCAAGTTGAGGGTACACTGTGCGAGGTACCGGGGATAAAACATATGGAAGATAACCCCAGTGTCTGCATTCATGGAGCTTACAGAGGAAGCCAGACATTCAAGAAAGCAATTAAAATGAATTCTGTTAAATACCATGAAGGGAAAAATGGGATGCCCTGGGAGAACACAGGTAGGGTGACAGGGGACCTCACCCAGCCTTGATGGGCTCAGAAAACAAATTGTTAAGCTGAGCCTTGAAGAGGAATGGGAATCAGCCAGGCCAAGCGGAGGGCGGCCTGGAGCAGGATGGGGAAGTGTCACCGGCAGAGGGCACAGTACTGACAAAGGCCTGGAGGGGGAGAGTTGGTGCCGAGGGGAACTGAGAGTAGTTCTCTGTGTGAGGAGTACGAAATTACACTGCAGAGTCGGTGGGAGTCAGATCATGCAGGGCCCTGAAAGCAATACTGGAGTTTGAGCTTTATCTGTAGAGCAATGGGGGGTCTCAGGTGGGTTTTAAGCAGGAGCGTAACAGGATTAGATGCATGGTTAGAAAGATCACTCCAGCAGAGATGTGGAGAATGCACTGGAGGTGGGCAGGACTGAGGCTGTTCACATTAGTCTAACGGAGAAGTGATGGCAACTTGAATTGAGGAAGGGAGCAACTGGGATGGAAAGAAGTGGGAGGAATTGAGAAACATGAAGATGGTGTAATCAGTCGGATTTGGTAATAGATTAGCTCTGGGGAGTGAAGGAGAAAAAGGAGTCAAGGATGGCTCCCAGGTCCTTGGGATCCACTGGATATCATTCTCTGTGATCCAGAACAGGAGGAGAAACAGACAGGGGGCGAGATGGTAAGATGCTGTTTTTGGGGACTGTATTTGAGTCAGGGGTGTATAGGAGACACTTCTGCTTGACATGCCCCTCTGACTCCTTTGCTGACTAATTTCTGCCCACTCTTGTAGCATCACTGCCTCCTCTGACCTCCCCTATCCCTCATAGGTAATGTAACCAAGAGAGATTACATATTCTCTCTTGTGTTCTCACAGTGGCCTGGGGTCACCATGCTGACTACCCTTATCCCTCTATTATTATTGCCTGTTTATGAGTCAGCATCTCCCACTAGACTGTGAGCTCTTTCTCCCCATCGTTGCGCTTCCAGTGCCCACCACCATTTAGGAACAGACTGTGGGAGAAGCCTAGTAAATGGTATTGAATAAATCACCTTCCCTGCTGAGGACTGACCCTATGCCTGTCACTGGCACAGGGTGTAGGGAAGAATAAGAGGTGATGAAGGTTTGGTCAATGAGCCGCGTTCTGGATGGTTGCTCAGTTGGCCATGATAATTCCAGTCCCTCCTCCGCCTCACTGTCCTCCAGGCCCAACAACCTCCTCTCACACTGGAGAAGGCTTCAGTGTTAACGCAGAGTAGGAATGTAACACACAAAGAGCATTGCACTGGATGTCAACCAAGACCTAGCTTCTACCCACTCCTGGTGCTGCCACGATCAGCTGTGTGGCCTTCTGCACATCACCCCACACCGCCCAGGCTTCAGTACCACTGAAAAATAAGGGGTCTTTACCAGGTCAGTCACACAGATCTTTTATCATTAAGGGCCATTTGAAAAATTATTTTTGGGCTGGGTGTGGTGGCTCATGCCTGTAATTCTAGCACTTTGGGAGGCTGAGGAGGGCGGATCACTTGAGGTCAGGAGTTTGAGACTAGCCTGGTCAACATGATAAAACCCCATCTCTACTAAAAACACAAAAATTAGCCGGTTGTGGTGTCAGGGACCTGTAATCCCAGCTACTCGGGAGGCTGAGACAGGAGAAACACTTGAACCCAGGAGGCAGAGGTTACTGTGAGCCGAGATGCACCACTGCACTCCAACCTGGGTGACAGAACAAGACTCAGTCTCAAAAAAAGAAAAAAAAAAAAGGCAAATTATTTTTGTCTCACATGTCCGCTGATTTGAAAGATTTTGTGAGCCAAACAGACCGAGGCCTTTTTTGAGGTTAAAGTGTGATTTCCTGCACACGTTTAGAAATGCTGAAGAAATCTGCAGGCTTTGGAGCTCTCAGGGCCAGGAACCCAGGCAGGGAGAAGAGACAAAGCAACCCAAAGTCCCTATGAGCCTCTGATGTAAACAATGGCATCTTAATCTTTGCCGCACCCCATAAACCCTCATCCATGGCCTGGCAGTGCTGACCCATGTCACATTGGCTGCTTGTTGACCGAGGAAGGGAACTCAGGCATCAGATGGATAGAGGGATCGCCCAGTGTGGAGGAGACCCCGTGTGTCAGCCATTCCAACATCACACCACCATCAGCCACCCCCACGTCCACGTGGGCCGTATTTAGCCTCTCTCATGCCTACTTAGTACTTGCCTCCCCTTAAGAAGGCCTGCAGGGTGGGACCTCAGCTCCCCCGCAGGCTGCTGAAAACACACTCTGCTGATTGTGGGGAACCCTGCTCTGCCCTGCCCTGCCCTCTGCTTCTCTCCTCAAACTCTGTAGAGTTTCTGCGTGCTAACACTGCTGGGTCCTCACCATTCTCACAGCCGACTTCCGCTGGCTCCGTTTTTACTGCCCTGGGCCACAAAACAGCTCATGTCTCACAGATAAGAATACCCCTCAAGCTGCCACCTCCTCCCTCCCACGACCCTGCATTTCTTTGTATCTGCCTAGCTTAAAATGTTGCCCAAGAGCTTGTTCTAGTCTTCCCTACCCACCCTCAGCTCCTGGGTTCTCACTCGGGTTGAGGGAGCCCTGCCCAGACGTCTGGCGAAGGCAGCTGGGGAGGGGCCTTCAGCTCTCCAAGGACAGGCTGTCTGCCTGCCCCACTTACCTTCCCAGAGAAGCAGACTCCACAGGGGCCTCATGGCCATCCTTCTTTGGTGAGGCAGGTAAACTCCTTCAACAACCAAAATCCAGAACCTCCCGGGCTGAGTGGGTGCACGGGAGGAGCTGTGGTCCTTCTGGGAAGTCCCATGTTCAGAAGGAGGAATCTTGACTCAGAACAGGATGCCCCAAAAGTGAAAACATCCAGAATAAAGTGGAAGTTGGCCCTGGGCCTCGCTGGGCTTTCGGGAGCAGATTCTTGTAAGTCAGCCTCTTTCACATGCACATGGTTGGCTAACACATGGCGACAACAGCCTCCACACAAGCCACATCCTCCTTGCTGGATCTCACTGGCCTCCCTGCATCCCAGCCTGCCTTGCTGCGATCTGTCCCCCTCAATCTAGCTTAAAATCCTTCTGTGGCCTCCCGTGGCCCTGAGAATGAGGACTAACTCTCTGTTCTGCATGCAGGCCCTCCTGAGTCAGGCCTTCTACTCCAGGCTGGTCGCCCACAGTTATTCTTCCCTCCAGCCATCCCAAGCCAGAAGGCCTCCTTCTCAGAACTACTGATTTCACACTTCCCTGTGTGGTACTTCCCTCCTTCCCCCGACTAGGCCTGCTGCTCCTTTTATCCTTGCAAACAGAGCGTGGCTGTGCAGTCAGCGAGGATGTCCTTCCAGGCTTCCTGACCACAGGCAGGTGAGAGGCCCTCTCCTTGTGCCCTGTGCATGCCCACACCTCCCTCTTTACTTTTTTTTTTTTTTTTTTTTTTTTTTTTTGAGACGGAGTCTCGCTGTGCTCCCAGGCTGGAGTGCAGTGGCGTTATCTCGGCTCACTGCAAGCTCCGCCTCCCGGGTTCACGCCATTCTCCCGCCTCAGCCTCCCGAGTAGCTGAGACTACAGGTGCCCGCCACCACGCCTGGCTAGTTTTTTGTATTTTTAGTAGAAGAGACGGGGTTTCACCATGTTAGCCAGGATAGCCTCTTTACTCTTGATGTGTTGTTGATGGCAGTTTTCTGGTCTTCACAGACTGTTTAGCCAGCACGGTCTTTTATTCCTTTCTGTGTTGCCCTCAGTGCTCGGCACATTACAGATGTTTCTGAGTATTTGTTAAGTGAGTGAGTACATTCTAGACATGGCTACACGTTTGGCTTTATGTAAGCCTTGCACCTCTTCTCTGAGAGGATCATCTTGTTATCCAGTTAGAAATGGGAAAATGTGAAAACCAGAGTGAGGTTAAGCCCCTTGCAGAGGTCACAGAGGTGCGGAGCTGGAACTTAAACCTCAACCTTTGAAGTGTGGTCTATTTTGCCACAGTCACCCCCTCCTCATCCTGTTTCTCTTCTCACTTCAAGTTTCCTGGTTTCTTGTAAGGGAACGTTTTTAGAGGACGTGTTGCCCCTAAGGAAAATTCCTGCTAGTCTGGAGTGTGGCTCATTGTATCTGGCCCTGCACAGCCTCTCACCTGTCAATCAAACTGGACACTGAGCTTTGGACTCAGCCAGGAACTAGGCATATAGGATGGGGCGGGGGTGGTGGTGAGCAGGAGGATTTTGGGATAAAGTTTTTGCCCTCCAGGCACTCACAACCAAAATGTAGATAGGTACACCAGGGAAAGTGAAGGCTTATCTGCAGACAGACAGCACTTTGTGCAAACAGGTAGTCAGCCCTCAGAAGTGGGTGGGAAAGAGGGCTTCGTGGATCTGGGCAGGGGACCCTTCTTGAGAAGGTGGAATTTGAGCTGTGCCTTGAAGATGGGCATGGTTTAGATAGGATGAGGAAAAGATAGAGCCAGAGGTTGGGGGTGGGCTCTGAGCAGGAGGGGAGAGCACGGCGTACAGGGATGTGGCCGTGGGAAAATACCAAGTAGGCTCCACAGAGGACAAGTGACAGCAGACAGGAATCCTTCAGGGCTGGGTGGGAAGAATGGAAAAGGAGGTTGGGGGCAGATTGTGGAGGCCTTGAAAACTGGGTTAAGTTATTCTGGAGACTAGTGGTTCTCAACCGTGTTCAGCACTTGGATTCTCAGAGGTGCCATCAGGGTGAGCTAGGGCCCAGAAATCTGTGGTTGTAACAAGCACCCCACTCAGGGTGAGTCTGTGGCTGGTGGACGGGGGGAACGCTCCGGAAGCGCTGCTTGAAGGGAGGGGCTGTTGCATGTTTTAAGTGGGAGTGGGAGGACAGCAGCAGGGCAGGTTGGGAGAGAACAAAGGGGCAGGGGAACCTGAACAGCAGCTACTGTCTGCCCTTTTCTCCTGTGAGAAGGAGAAGGGTCTGCATATGAAGGAAATGTCTGGAGTACCAAGAAAAGGGCAGAACTGGGAAGCTGCCTGGCGTGGGGGTGGAGAGGGCAAGGGAGGGAACTCATTTACGACTCCATTGCCAATTCCATCATTCATTCATCAGGCATTTATTGAGCATCTACTTAGGTGCCAGGACCTAGGGATACAAAGATGAAAGCTTAGCCCCTGACCTTAAGGAGTTCACAGAAGATGGGATATATAAGACAATAATTATAACCAGTATAGCAAGAGCAATGTCAGATGTATGCCCTGGAGGCTATGAGAGCCAGAGGACAGATTTGACCCTGCCAGGGCAGGTGGGGGGCTGGGGAGGGCTCTGTGGAGAGGGTGGTGTTTGAGGTGAGACTTAAGAATACAATCAGATGAGGGCAGGAGTTAAGAACTCAAGCATGATTCAGACTTTTTGAGTTCAAATCTTGGCTGTGAAACCATGAGCAAAGTAACTTCCCTGTGCTTCAGTATCTTCACCTGTGAAATGGGAATCACTAACAATACCTACCTCTTAGTATTGCCAATGAACACATGTGAAGGTTTAAATTGGGGTCGGATGCAGTTAGCACTGAAATACTAACTTGCTACTAAATGGCCAGGGAGAGGGAAGCAGGGAAACCTGGGTAAATCAGATAAAGGCATGTTTCAGGCTGGGCAGTCCCCTGTTCTGACTCTCTGCTCCCAGACTGGGAGCTGCATGAGGGGAGGGATCTCCTTCATTTCTGCACCCTGTATATTGCCAAGGACAGGCTTTCGATGAGGCAAAGCCCTCCATGCATCTGTTGTATTGGATTGAATGATTCTAAAATGTCAAAGCCTGGGACTGGGAGGGCTGTGGGATGCAGGTATGGGGTCAACGTGGAGCCAGATCCTGAATTCCTTTGGAGAAGGCAGTGGGCAGTTACATTGCCACTAAGCAGAGTTGGTCACCCATAGTTGTCCATCCAAGCAAGGAATGAATTGCAGTCCTTCCCCCACCTGAAGCCCTTTTCCTTGAGGGGAGTTTTGGGGAAGCTGAGAAAGGGGGTTGGAGGAGGTGGAGGGAAGACTGAAAAATATCGCACCTCCCCAAAGGGAAAAACTCACTGCCCATGTGACCACTGGAGAATGACAAACTAAGGAGGCGGTGATTCTTTCCAGAAGCAGGGAAGGGTTAAGTCTGCGGCAGGCAGGTTCTCTCTACTTGCTAATCACTGGTTCACACCATATTAATTACCCAGCCACAGAGGGGAGTGCACAGGAGTAAATTAGCTGGTGAGTTCAAAGGGGCCACTCCCCACATTCCTTAATTAAGAGAGCAGCTGGCAGCCAGTGCTGCGACTCCACTCCCTGGGGCCTTTCTCAGCTGCATCTGCTGCGTTGGTCTCCGAGGCAGGCATAGTGGCTCCATCTGCCATGTGGAAGAGCCTGCACCCACCATTAGCCCACCTTCACTTCGGGCTGGGGGTGAGGGAGCAGGTGTTGACCAAGGTCACATAAGCTGCCGGAACTCGACCATTAACCCTGAACCGCTTGATGTGGAGTTCCAGGGCAGGGTGGAATTTGGGTGAAGCTTTGTGCCTGCAGGCAGAATGGGGCCACACTTCTCCCAGGAGGAGAGGTGGAGAAGGGAAAGAAAGGTGGGGTGCCTAAGGAGCTGAGAGAGAAGGGGAGCCAGGCAGGAAAGGAGGCAGAGGCAAAGCAGCTGGAAGGAGCGGGCATTTAGCAGGCTTTTCAGGAGCCAAAGGTGGAAGCCAAAGAGGAAGGGTGTTACTAGGGAGTGGGGAGGCCTCTGGGCACTGCTTTGAGGGGGTGGTGTGGGATGGGGACTGAAAGGGGAAGGTAGGACCCCACCTAAGCCCTGTCTTTGTGTCTGCTTTCTGCAGGCACCATGCTACGAGGAGCCACAGACCAAGAGGCTGCCTGGGGCAGCGGAGCCTGTGTGCACCCCTCCCTGGCTAGCCAGCTTAGGCAGCAGTGCCATGACATGGCAGGAAGTCTGGTCTAGAGGGAGAAGACCCTGGAAGGAGCCTGTCTCTGTCACTCCTTAGAAACGCCCACTGTTGCTGAGCCTCTGGAGATGGGAAATGGATGCAAAATGGCCTTACTTCTCATGAGATGGCACTGGCACCGCTTTGAGCCTAAGTGCCTCCTTAACTTTTGTGCCTGAGGTGCCTCTCTTGTCTCACCCTGATCCTGGCCCTGCTGGGGAGAAGTAGAGGGAGTGGAGTCTTCGATGAACTAGAGGCATGGTGCACACAGCTGGAGAGGGAGAAACTGAGGAGAGAGGAGAAAGTGAGTGGGATGGAACAGCTTGCAGGAGTCTGGATGGAAGGGATCTTTGGCTTAGGTCTGTCTGATTTTGAGGCAAAGATACACCTTCCCAGAGATGTGAAGGAAGCCTGCATAAAACAGAAACAAAACCACACTGCGCGCTCTTGAGGTAGAGAGGGGGAAACTGGAAGCTCATGCAGGCATTCACTCACTCATCGAACACCTGGTTCCCATCTTGTGCACACTAATGCATCCAACGAACACTAAAAAGCATCGAGCATGTGTAAGCCTCATGGGGTCAAGAACTCAAGCTGATGGTCCCAGTAATCATAATACTCCTGAGAGGATCAGTCACAATAAGAATCTGTGCCTCATGTGGGAAAGAATTCCAGAACAAGTTCAACATGGGTTCTTCTTCCAAAGAACCTGAGAGAAGGGCCCCTCTGAGCAAAGGCACAGCAAGTGATGAATGCTAAAGGAGCAGACGTGCTGTCGGCTGCCGGTCCTGCCAACGGTAGCCTCTTCAGCAGTGCAGAGGGAGATGTGAACAGGTGGCAGGACACAAAAGATCCCAGTACTGGAGGGAAAAGCCTGGGTCTTTTTCATCTTTACACCCTGTCAGTAGTCACTGTTATCACAGTCGATATGAAGATGAAGGACACAGAGCTATTTGGTGGATGCTTATTTAAATAAAGCCTTACTTCTTAGCCAAATCAAAGAGAACAACTCTGGAGCTGAAAGAAATCCCAA